GAACCCACCTCGGGAACTGGTCTGCAGTTAGCGCGGTCCGGTTATGTCTATCTCGGTTCAGTTCAGGTTGTTTCCGTTCACACACGACAAGTTATCTCCGTTACTGAGCTCGGGCTGGTCTCGGCTCAGTTTTTTAAGGGTAGTGTAAACTGGGTAAGAATGAAGCAGAATGAGGAAAAAGGGGTCCCTATGTCCTCCAGCAGTCTAAGCCTATAGCAGCAGAACTATAGAGATAGATCAGGATAAGTTAAGTGCTTTGGATGAGGTAATAATGAAAAATCTGCTGTTCTTTGGGTATTTTAAATCTGTTTATATTATTATTATATTATATCTGAGTTACAGTCTTCAGTTGAAAGAATTCTCAGCACAGAATCAGGTAGGTTTGCACTTAGATGGAATTGACTTGGTGTTGATTTTGCAGACAAATTAGATCTCAGTTCCTGTTTTCTTGTTGACCCTTTTTGTGAAATGTTGGGTGGATTTAGAGGAGGATAGTACCCAGGAACATTTACTGATCCACCTTTGCTTTTATAAAACAAGTCATTTTAAAGTTTGATGTGCTTTTTTAGCTCCTCTGCAGTAATGATATTTTGAAGCAGCATTACTCCTACCTGAGAACAGAGGTACGTTCCTCAGGTTCCTTCACTGATTGACAGACACCAGGCATAGACGTCTATGTGCAGCAACCGAAGTTGAAAGGCACAACCGGCACAGCTGTGCATTTAAAAAAAATGAATTTAGTGGAATAACAAAGGAAAGAGAAGAACGGGGCACATCAGGCCTTTTCCAGGGATTAGGATCTGACCAGAGGGCAACATGGCTCCTCTATTCACTGTGTGCCCAGCCGGCCTTATCGCCATCAGTCTGACATTCTGTTTATCTGACGCTGCAGACAAATCTGCTAGCCTGAGAGAAACAGACACAAAGAATATGGATGATCAGCAGTTTAGCTGTGGAGGCCCCGGAGCCCATCGCTCTCGCTTACCCAGCTTTCCCAGCAGCCCTCAGTGTTCATCTGGGGTTTGGCCCAACAGCCACAGTTTGAGGATATGCTTTTCTTTTTCAGGGTTTCTTATATCTGGTGCATTAAACTCCAGTTGGTGGATATTTAAAGTCGATATATTCAATCGGCATCACTGAGCTGAAGCCTTGGAGTCCCTATAGAGACGAGAAGCAGGGTTACGTTTTTACACCTAGGGTGACAGAAGACCAGGAGCCTGCTACCATGGCGTCTTTTCAGTTGGATTTTCTTCCAGAAATGTTGGTGGATCATCACTCTTTGGACGCTGCTCCTGCGTAAGTCCTCTCTGTGTGTCATCAGGAAGCGTTTAGATGCATTCTCATCTAAAAGAGTTTTTTTAGGCATCACTTGTTCACTTTCACTTTGTCACAAGTTTCTCCTTCAGAAAACAGAGTTTGGAGCAGCGGTTAGTTGGTCGCATCTAAATATCTAAACATTTTGTCAGCTTGCTTTAGTTTTTTACAAATTAAAAGAGATTCATTAAAATCCTACATTTAAATGAATTTGTTTTTTTTTTTCTTAAAGACTTTGATGTTTATCAGCTCGATAAACAGATTTCTTTAACCTTCATGAAGATGAACATGGATCTAAATGACATGCAACATTTAGGAAAAAAAACATAATTACTCGAGTTTATTTGTTATTAAACACTCTCCAGCTCATTACCTCCATTAATGCATGGGGGGGGGGGGTTATACAGGGGAATGGGGACCAGTAAGCCCTACTAACTGGGACAGACCACAGTGCATCAACAGGAAACTGAACCATCCCAACGTCCGCATTAAAGCCTAGAGGATTTTCTTTTTGAAAAGAGCAAATATTTATTTTCTTCACTAACAAACTTTGCACATTTACTTCTTCTCTTAAGTCTGTGCTCCTCCCCTCATCACCTGCCTTCCTCTTCCTGTCATCCTTCTTTTCCTTCTAGTTTATAAAAGAAAGTAAAAAAGAAAACTTTTCCTTAATCCTCCTAAACCCAGCGGTGGCTGGTGGAGTTTTCTCAAGGGGGCGCTATAAATTAAAAATAGACGTAAAACCAATGAAAAGTATACTAAGTTTTCACACCAGTATATTTATATGAATGCCAACAAGAAACAAACATTATAAAACACTTTGTAAAAAACTAAACATCATTTCATGTCCAGGTTTACCTTTTGTCCATGAATCTTTCCCTTCTGAGGCTTTGAAGGTAAATCTGTGTTTTGCATGGTCCAAAATTGAGTCACAAACCTAAAATAATATATATCAGTTTAATAATAGAGAAGCTATTAATCAGATTTATAATTTTTAATATATAAAAAATGTTTCTGAGAATGTGTTTATTTAAGAGGAACTATACAAATGAACAAACATCTAGAAAAAGTCGACTATATTCTATTATTTTCCATGTGAATCCCAGATTGTTCATTCTTCTTTGCCTTTCTAAAAAGCGCTTTAAATCAGTCCTAGCTGTTATTATCCATGCTGGCTCAGATTGTGACCTTTGAAAAAGGAGGAGGGGGAAAGCAGGATACAGCGTTAGCCTCGCTACATGAAGTTAGCCTCGCTGCAGTTAGCCTCGCTGCATGTTGTTAGCCTCGTTGCATGTTGTTAGCCTCGCTGCAGTTAGCCTCGCTACATGAAGTTTGCCTCGCTGCAGTTAGCCTCGCTGCAGGCTGTTAGCCTCGCTGCAGTTAGCCTCACTGCAGTTAGCCTCGCTGCATGCAGTTAGCCCCGCTGCAGTTAGCCTCGCTGCATGCGCTTAGCTTCGCTGCATGTGGTTAGCCTCGCTGCATTAAGTTAGCCTCGCTGCAAGAGGTTAGCCTCGCTGCAGTTAGCCTTGCTGCATGCTGTTAGCCTCGCTGCATGCGCTTAGCTTCGCTGCATGTGGTTAGCCTCCCTGCATGCAGTTATCCTCGCTGCATGCGGTTAGCCTCCCTGCATGCAGTTATCCTCGCTGCATGCAGGTGCCCTCACTGCATTTGGTTAGCCTCGCTGCATGCGGTTGGCCTCGCTGCATTAAGTTAGCCTCGCTGCAAGAGGTTAGCCTCGCTGCAAGAGGGTAGCCTCACTGCATTTGGTTAGTCTCGCTGCATGCGGTTAGCCTTGCTGCATGAAGTTATCCTCGCTGCATGCGGAACATTTGCATTCATGGAGCCTAGATGGAAGTTCAACTGAAGAAATTATTACTTACTATCATCCTCTTCCGTCAAAGGCTAATCAGTTTTGAGCCACACCTCCAGCATCCAGAGTTCATCTTAAAGGGGTGATAGAATGATTGTATAGGGTATCTGCTCCTTCAGGTCTCTAAATAGGGTGTGTAACATTGGTTGGGCTGAAAATGGCATATTTGCTGTTATATGAGGCCTAATGCAGCCTGGTTAAAAGCCCTAGAATGAAACGACAGATTTTCTTCCTTCGATGGATGATAGTGAATATTTAGATGAGCTGTGCTCTGATTGATTGGTTTACAACAAGCCAAGCTGCTGAGCAAAGATGCACCATAGCAACAAGCTCTCACTCACTGAAACATCAAATTGTTGATATGGTAGGGTGACCAGACGTCCTCTTTTTCCCGGACATATCCTACTTTTCAGACCTAAAAAATGTCGGTGGGGATTTCAAAACTCAAAAACTTGGTTTTGCATTCTATGACCCCTTTAAACGGTTCTCCATTCCACATCTCCATCTGCTACCTAAAGCACAGGCAGTGGTTGCTCTGTCTGACTTGGATTCAGATGACCCTGTCCCCCCCCAGACCGCCTCTCCAACCAGCAGTCTACAGACTGACCAACTTCATCTATCTGCACTCCACCACCAGTTTCAGGCCTGGGGGGCAAACAGAGGTGTTCTCTACTCCTGTTAAAACATATCAAAGCAAAAATTCAGCGCTAATGTTTACTGTCGAGGTCTGAGCGCCAAAGACTAAAGTAATTGTATCAATAAATGTCTTCTAATTGTCTTTTTCTTTCTGTCGGAGTTTTTCAGATTGAAATAATCTGCACAAGATCGCAATGTAAACAGTGTAGGAAAGAAATGGTGCAAAAATAAATTAATATGGTAGTTATGTGTAAAAATAAATATGTGCAAAATGCAGAGGAACAGTGAGTTGTGTTTCTATTTCTATTCAGTTTATTTCTATAGCTCAGCATGTGTAGATCTCATCCTCTGCGTGTGTGGATCTCATCCTCTGCTTGTGTGGATCTCATCTTCTGCATGTGTGGATCTCATCCTCTGGATGTGTGGATCTCATCTTCTGCATGTGTGGATCTCATCTTCTGCATGTGTGGATCTCATCCTCTGCATGTGTGGATCTCATCCTCTGCTTGTGTGGATCTCATCCTCTGCATGTGTGGATCTCATCCTCTGCTTGTGTGGATCTCATCCTCTGCATGTGTGGATCTTATCCTCTGAATGTGTGGATCTCATCCTCTGCGTGTGTGGATCTCATCCTCTGCGTGTGTGGATCTCATCCTCTACTTGTGTGGATCTAATCTTCTGCATGTGTTGATCTCATCCTCTGCGTATGTGGATCTCATCCTCTGCTTGTGTGGATCTCATCCTCTGCATGTGTGGATCGTATCCTCTGCATCTGTATATCTCATCC